TAGTTGCGAACTATCTGGCTGGTAGACACACTCATGCAGCCTGAGCACATTCACCCTCCAGGCAGTTCAAAATTACAAACTGATACATCTAGTAATAATACAACTTACCTACTGAGAAAATACTAGACATGTTATATGTCTGGTATTTTCTCAGTTTGTTTTTTATGTGTTCATATTTTTGGGCTGCAAAAAGCAGAATTAAAAAAAAAAGGTTTCCAATTAAAGTAAAAAGTTTGGGAAACCCTGGTCTAACCAGCTTTCTGTCTGTCTTACAGCCCATTTATCCAATCCATATTCCTTAACTTGCTGGCAACAATATTGTGGATGACCATATCAAAAGCTTTGCTAAAGCTGGCACTGGGAGATTTGGGAGGACCAGAAACAACTTATTTGAATATTCATCATTTGATTAATGAATATGCAAATGAACATTACTGGTCCTCCAAAAGTTCGTGAATGGATTTACTGGTCCCTGTGTCAAAAAGTTTGGGAACCCCTGCTTTAGGAGATGGCTACACAGATAGCAGCTCTCAGGTACTATATACCACTGCAGCTTAACTGAGCTGAAGTGCTAAGTTTCCTAATTAATAAAATAAACTCTTTAATAATAATAACAATAACTTAATCATGTTTATGAAAATGACATGATGAAGGAGAGGCAACCAATGATAGTTTGGCCAATGTTCCAGCCAACCGTATTTGCAAATATGAAAGCATGGGGATTGTTTGTATACTATGCAGCTAATCACAACTGCACCCATTACACTGCCTCATCTGAATACTGATGTGCCAGCTTTTAGGGCAAAACATTAGTGAATGTCTGACTTTCTAAATATGAACCTGCTCAATGATGCAATCACTGCAACAAAAGTAGAAAATACATATGAGGCTTGGTATACCTGGAATGATGGTAAAACTCTGTCTTGTATTCATATTTCAGACATAGTTTACAGAAGAAAGTAGCTTTTCATTTGCTAGAGAAAGGTATTTACAATGAGCTAATAAATTAAATTAGAATATTAACTTACCCTTTTTCTTGTTTTTAACTGAACTTGGACCTACAAAGAGAAAAGAAAGACACTGAAATTCACAGTAAATATTTCCTCTGTAACAAAAAAATGAAAGTGGATGGAATGTGATTTGGTGCAAACACAGAATAGCAAGGTAAGCCAATGCTGTGGAACATAAGAACAGCCATACTAGGTCAGACTAAAAATTCATCTAGCCCAGTATCCTGTTTGCCAACAGTGGCCAATGCCAGATGCCCCAGAGGGAGGGAACACATCAGGTTATCATCAAATGTTCCATCTCCTGTCATCCATTTCCAAACAAACAGAGGCTAGGGACACCATTCCTATCCATCCTGGCTAATAGCTATTGATGGACCTAGCCTCCATGAATCTATCAAACTTTTTTTTTTTTTAAACCCGGTTAAAGTCCTAGTCTTCACAACATCCACAGATTGAACAAGGAGTTCCACACGTTGACTGAGCACTGAGTAAAGAAAAACTTCCTTTTGTTTGTTTTAAACCTACTGCCTATTAATTTCATTTGGTGACCCCTAGTTCTTATATTGTGGGAACAAGTAGGTAACTTTTCCATATTCACTTTTTCCACACCAGTCATGATTTTATAGACCTCTATCATATCCCCCCTCCCAGTCTTTGTAATCTCTTCATATGGCACCCGTTCCAAACCCTTAATCATTTTGTTGTCCATTTTTTTGGCATAAGCCTCTGGTCAAATGACCTATTAGACCCACGCATTTATGTGGAATCTTCTTGTTGTGTTGCCTGATCTCAAAATGATGATCTGTGAACTATAATAGTTGACATCAGAACTAAACATAGTCAATTTTGATTAAAATTTCTAATAGAATTTCTCTTTTTCTTTCTGGGTAAGTAAAGATTAACTAAACCATCTGTTTCTGGACTACAACAATTTTATGAGGGAAATTACTTTTCACCCCTGAACCAATAGGTTTTATGAAAACATATAGCCAGATTTTCACCTCAGTCTCTAAACTGCTCACAGTTTTGCTCATAGGTTTTGATTGTGCTCCTAGAGAATTTGTATGTGTAAAAATGGAGTCACATGCATGCAAAACATTGGTACATGAAACGGCAAGCACAACTGTTGAAGCTTGGTTGAAGACCTTGAAAATCAAACTTCTTATCAGTCACATTTTTTAAAGTGCACCCTCTTAGAATGAATTTGGTCATCACTATAACTGTATTGTCATAATGTATTCATTTATGACCCATGTGGGTGACACATGAATTCCCATTATAATTTAATTTAATATAATGGACACTTAAAGAGAGTGTCAACATTTTAAGTTGTCAGTAAGATCACAGGATTAACTTCTCACCAATGACCTTGTAAAGAAAACAATCTTAAGAACTCCTTTGAAAATACATGTTCAAGAATCTTCACCTAGTTAGGTATGTAAGTGTTGGCCTGTTTCTTAAACACCATCTTGTACTCCGCAGACTTAACGTTGCCTGCCTTTGCTTGTACAGCTTTTTAATAATAGTTTCCCCATTGTGCAGATAGGTTGAACCTTCTTTAGAGGTAAGTAATTAAAAACATATTCCACTCCCAGCCAGTGTCAAACCCTTCACAAAACGCTCCACCAAAAGCTTAGTTTACTATATTCACTTTTGCCAAAGGGAAACCAGAGCTAGTGCTTTGCAAGTTTTTAGAAACCACTGTTCCTCTGAGACTCTCCAATGACAATCTTTTTCTACTGAGTTCTTTATTAGATTCATGTAGAAAAGGCCCATGATCTTATATAACTTAGTCTTGTTATATATATTGGTGCACTTACACCTGCTGCTCTGAAAGGTGCAAGCTCTAGCAGGGCCTCCTTCAATCCAATAAGCACACCTCACAGCTTATGTGCCCTGGATGCCTGTCAGGGTCTCCTCTAAGCTGTATGGCCACGTGGCCGCACAGAGGTCTCATAAGCCCTGTGCAGAGGCTCATGAAGATGCTGCCAGAGAAGCATTTTATACAATAATTCAGAAATGTGTGCAAAAATAAAATGACATGTCAATAGGACAGAACTATATTTTAAAAGTAACAACACAATGTCCTTCAAGTTGTATTTCATTCCCTCTCAATAATTATAGTTCCATATACTTTATTTTCCAACTTTTTCAGTTATTACAATAAATATATAATTGATATTGTCTGAACATTTTTTATTAGAAAAATATTTGATTTTTTTTCAAAACTTTATCAATATTGATAAAAATTCCACAGGGGAAAAAATCACATCTAAACAAATCATATCTTGTAATAGAAAATTTCAAACATTCTAAAATCCATTTTGCTTTTTCCTTGGACAAGAGCCTTCCAGGAGGGCTGCCAACGCTGAGCACCTGACCTCTCCCTTCATAGGTGTTAGTATCTCTTCCAGCATGGGGCTAGAGAGGCAATGAGCCCAGGCACTTGGCCTCCTTACTTTTCCTCAGCTCCCGAACATACTGAGCATTTCAGCTTTTTGCTTCTCTGGCCCTGAAGCCAGGGGGTGGCTGAACATCCCATATTCTATCTCAGGAAGCTGGGCTGAAAGACTCATCAATTTCACTTTTGAAATTAACAAGAGCATTTTAGGTGGGCAGCTGAGAAGTTACAAATTCTGTTTTGATTCTCTGAAAACAGAATTTTTCTTATAATCCTGGCCAATAAAAAAGTTGTTTTTTATTTTTGTCTCAATTTGGGACAATTTTTTTTTTCAAAATCACAATTTTTTGTGGAAAAGAGCTTTTTGTTTTCTGGCCAGCTCTAGTAATTTTACATATTAAAGCTATTAAAACAAAGAATATTACTTTCACTGACGTTATAAAGCTGCCTAACAAATCATTCAGGCCTAGGAGAAGGACACTCCACTAAGGCAACAAAAGGGTTCTGAAGGAACAAAAAGGTCAGGTACAGTGCAGACAGCTGCACTACAAAATTTCCTCCATTGTCCCAGAGAAAAAAAGAAAGGGAGAGACAGAATTGCCTGTCTACACTGTCTTGCAATCTTCCCATTTTGTATTCTCTGAAATCCACAATTACACACAGACTACACAATTACATATAGAATTAGCCATCACCATACCAGCTTTCACTGAAGAGTCTAGCTATATGCTCTCAGAAGACATAATTTAAATTAAAAAAACCAGGATGGAATGTGAGTGTTGTGTATTTGTCTCCTCAGGCTTTTGAGTCATAAGAGTTTATTTCATGTTATATATATCACACCATTAGAACTATAAACAGAGTGAAAGTACAAATAACTGTGGTGAGCCAAACACATTTGAAATTGATGGAACCAATTAGCTTCAAAGACGAATGAGGGGAATGAGAACCACATGGGATGTCAATGTTCACAATCTATATTACAACACGCACATCTGTTCCAAGCACGGCAGAGAGAGATGCTGGAGCTGTGCAAGTGGATCTTTCCACAAACATAAAAATACTTCTGACATGAAAAAATACATTATTATTAGCTTTGGGAGCTTCTGAGCCTCTGGGGTTTGCATCTGTTACTCTCCAACAGGAGAAGTGGGATATTTCAGCTGGTGTAATCATACTATCATGAGGCTCCTTCAGTACAACATAAGACAGTCCTTTGTTTAACCTTCCATCTTTGCTCAACATGGTTACAAGAAATTGCTGATATTCTTTCCTTTTACCTGGGATGCGAGGGAAAGGGCCAATGTGTCAAACATTTTATAAGTTCTGTCCTACTTTGTTCTACTCTGTAAAGTAGGTACCAGGCTCCAACATTTCACATTTTATCTTCTGGACCCTATCCCTACCCTCCAATGTATCTACCTCTTCCCTTAGCTTAACTTAGGGTACGTCTAGACTACATGCCTCTGTCGCCAGAGGCATGTAGATTAGGCTACCCGACACAGTAAAATGAAGTGGCGATTTAAATTTACATGGCTGATCAGCTGTTTGTCGGCTCAGCGCGATAGTCTGGACGCTCCCCTGCCGACATCAAAGGTATTTGTCGACCACCCAGGTAAACCTCATCCCAGCCATGTAAATTTAAATGAAGCCGCGATTATTTAAATCGCCGCTTCATTTTACTGTGTTGGGTAGCCTAATCTACATGCCTCTGGCGACAGAGGCATAATTGCCGCTTCTTTTTACTGTGTCGGGTAGCCTAATCTACATGCCTCTGGTGACAGAGGCATGTAGTCTAGACGTACCCTTAGTGTCATCTGGGAACTTGCTGAGGGTTCAATCCAGCTCCTCATCCAGGTAATTAATAAAGCTGTTGAACAAAACCAGTCCTAGAACCAGCCCTTGGGGCACTCCGCTTGATACTGACTGACAACTAGACATGGAACTGTTGATCACTACCCGTTGAGTCCGACCTAATCAACTTACAGTTCATTTATCCAATCCATACTTCCTTAACTTGCTGGCAAGAATACTATGGGAGACCGTACCAAAATCTTTGCTAACATCAAGGTATATCATGTCCACCACCTTTCCCATATGCACAGAGCTAGTTAGCTTGTCACAGAAGGCAATCAAGTTGGTCAGGCATGACTTGCCTTTGGTGAATCCATGTTGGCTACTCCTGATCACTTTCCTTTCTTCCATGTGCTTCAAAATGTATTCCTTGAGGATCTCCTCCATGATTTTTCCATATCTAACATTTTGTATCAGTTTATTTAATAGATTTAAAATTTAACTTACTCTTAGAGCTGTTCGAATAGCAGGAAACTATATTTGACAATTTTCGTCAGTATTTATCAGTGACTTATATTTGACTAGCTACAGAACTGGTTGAATACCTTAAAATATGACCACCACTTCTTCCAAATATAATAATTTGTCAAATAAAGGGGTGGGAGGCGTTAAAGTATTTTGACTTATGTGCACTGACTTTATACCTTTTCACTTCAACTTTCCTGAGTGTCCCTCTGCAGACAAGCCCAAACAGATGCAGCACAGAACTTCCAGCCCAGAAGCAGCAGAGGGAATTTAAGTTGGTTTTGTACCCTCCCAGTCCTTGGCTGCGCTGGGAGCTGGAGATTCCCTCAGCATAATGTTAGGCTGTCCTGAGGACCTGTCCAAATTAGAGCAGCCTCCCTGGGCTGCCCCATGGGCGACAGCACTGCCCAGAATCTCTACAGTGCTGTGGCCTGGGCCCTGGCAAACCATCCCTGAGGCATGTTCCCTATAGTAGGCCTTGTGAGGAGGTCCTCAGAAAGCAGATTTACATATTGTTTATGCCAGAGGAATTCTCCCCAGCCAGCTACAGATTTTTAGGGCCCTTTTGTGCAATTCTAGCACTTTTATCTGGCATAAGAGAGACCCAGGAAAGGTGAGAGGATCTCCCCTTCCATGTATTCATATAACGCGCAATTGTTCTAGATTCTTACGCACTCACTCTGAGTAGTACCTTTCTCCCAAAAATGCCTATTGAAATAATTAGAGTAAGATTCTTCAACATAAGCAAAATTTGAGATACAGAGGGTATTAGTGACTAACATGGTTTTTTAAAAATAAATTGCAGGTAAAACAATACAATAAAAATCAAATACAGATAAGTGACAAAGATTATAGGTAAATACATTATTTTATCTCCTTTACAAGGAAATGAAAGATACAAGGAAATGAAAGATACAAATCTATCAGCTGAGGAGAGTTAGTAGTCAGAATAAGGGACAAAGATGATTATCTCTTTGGTTAATGCACTTGTTAATATTTTGACTATATTGCTAATTTTAGAAATCTACTTTCAGACAAAATCCCTCTCTGACCCCCAGAAAGTCCATTGCTTCATCTTCCCCTTCAAAACCCCATATGGAGGAGACAACTACTTCTGAGTATATTGTGGTAGCATCTTTAGCACTGGAACAGGTTATTATAGCAGTGGGGGAAGGAAAGCACAGATAGTATTAAACAGATAGGCTGGATTAAATATACATCTTTCTTATCAGAGATAAGACAAATGAAGTAAGATTCCTCCATCTGACAAAGGCTCTCTACAAGTCCCAAGAATCTCTTTTTGACTCCCATGTTTGCTTTTTACTTTTCTATCCACTTCACCCTTACATCAGACCCTGCAACAGAGCAATCATCACGTCTCGCTGACACAGCTAGCTAGGTTTTTATGAGGCACTGGACAGGGCCTCTACTGGCAGGGGCAGAGGACTGCAGACTTTGAACTTTTCTCTCTTATGTGGAATCACTCTACTTCAAATAGCAAAATGAAGCTAAGCATTCAGGGCACTGTTCATTTAAAACAATAATTTCCCCCCTCATATCTACCTAAAGATGTGCTCAATATCCCCCCCCTCATATCTACCTAAAGATGTGCTGCCAAGTTCTACCATCCAAGCACCTTCAGACTGCATGATTCTGGAACACCATACTTATGGGCTATGATGCTGGCCTATATAAGAGGTGATGTTTGTTACAGCCCTAATTTTGATAGTAAAATATGTATTTCATACTTAACTCCCTTTAGGTAAGTCTAGACTAAATTTTTTTTTGAAAGAGAGCACCCAGGCAATCTGGATGCTCTCTTTTGAAAAAGCCCAGTTTGTGGTCAAGAATGCCTTTTTTCAAAAGAGCTCTTTCGAAAAAAGGCGTTCTTCCTCGTAAAATGAGGTTTGCCACTGTTGAAAAAACTGCTGCATTCTTTCAATTTAATTTCGAAAGAATGTGGCGATAGACGCAGGTGAAGTTTTTTCGAAAAAAGGCCACTTTTTTCGAAAAAACCCTGTAGTGTAGATATAGTCTTTAAGATAATCTGATTATTTTGGTTAAATCATCCAGTAAGAAAGAGAATTTGGCTGGTGGAACTGAAGGTAGCCTAAAAATATTTCCAGCATAGAAGCAAAATAGCTAACACAGCAGCAGAATAGCATGCTTGTCTTTTAAAAAACCTGATTTGAACAACTCTCCAGATCATCAAATCTTTTAATGGCAATTTCCAGATTTGTTTTGGGGGAGAAAGATGCTACAAATGTGGTGGTAATAAGAGTGCTAGTGATAGTGAAAAGAAAAAGAATCAGGAAAAGGCTGCTCTGTAATGCAGAGACAAAAAAGGAAGCTACTCACTCTGTGCAGTAATGATGGTTCTTTGAGATCTGTGTCCCCGTGGATGCTCCACTGTTGGTGTTGGGTCATCCCAGAACTGCAGATTGGAGTTTTACATAGCAGTTGTCAGTTGGGCTGCACAGGCATGGTATGCACCTTTGGGGCGTTTGTGTCTCAGTGCCTCACACACGTGGCCTGATCCTCCCTCAGTTCCTCATCTATGCTGGCGTATGAAGTAGAAGAGGGCGGGTCATGGAGCACCCACAGGGACACACATCTCAAAGAACCATCGTTATTGCACAGCGTGAGTAACTCCTTTCCTTCTTTGAGTGATGTCCCTGTGGGTGCTCCACTACAAAGCAGTGACCAATCTGGACAGTGGGCTCTGGAGTTATCACTTGGCGGACGAGGACTGGACAGCTGTGGCCAATGAGGTATCAGACCATGATTGAGGTAGGATGACATAATGTTTAGCAAAGTATGCTCCGATGACCAAGTGGCTGCCTGGCAAACGTCTTTGAGAGCAACACTGTAAAGAAACACCATGGATGTTACAATGGCAAGGGTGGAATGTGCTCTTGGAAGGACTGGCAGCGTCTTATTTTGCAAAGAGTAACAGCAAACTACACATGATGGTGTCCAGTTGGAAATGCATTGGACAGAGATGGACATACCCTTTGAGCGCCCTGGAATGGAAACAAATAGACGCTGAGATCTGTGGAAAGCCTTAGTTCTGTCTACGTAAAAGTTCTGTCTATGTAGGAGACACATCCAATGGAGGTGTGGATACCAGGTCTTCCTGGACCAGGAGGGGGCTATCAGGATGACTCGAATGCTGTCCTATTGGATCTTGTGCAGAATGCTCGGGATAAGGGGGATCAGAGGAAAAGTGTAGTGAAGTGGTGCATTCCATGTCCCAGGGATCTTTCTCCCATTCTCCCCCAGAAAGAGAACTGGGGGCATTTGGAATAGAGATGCAATGCAAATAGATCTATCGATGGGAATCAGATGTGAACAGAACTCTTGGAAATATGCCTATGTTAAATAAGTCCTACAAAAGGTAGATTATATTATATATCTGTCAAAAGAGATGTGATAAATGAGGTGAGCTGCCTCCTTGGGCAGAGTTTCAAATTGTAAGATTAGAACAGAATGGATCGTCTTAAAGCATACTCTGATAGCATCAATATTCAACTTAAAATTGAAAGATTTCTTTCTTTGGATACATTTTATTGGGAATCTGGAAGGGTTTAGCTATTCAACAGAGGCAAGTACACAAGTTAGTCATGCACATGCATGCACACGCACAGACATTTACACACACACAGGTACAGCTGCCATGTGAATACATAAAACAGACACCATGAAGGAAAAAAATGAAAAGCCCACTGATATATCTTTAAAAATTAGTTTAATATCAAATCCAAATTACTAAAGCAAACTAATAATTTTGCTCTCTGGAGTGACTATACAACCTGAACTCTGAATTTCCTGAGTTGTAGTATTTGTTTCAGGGATTTGTAACAACATTCCTGCACTGAGTTCCATTAAGTTACAGATATGTATTCTCAATCTCAACTCCATATAAAATAAATGTTTGTCTGGAAAGATGTATTACAAGCCCTGAAAATATAGATGTATATAACGAAAAGCTTGTTCAGACCTAAACTATGGTGAGATTAGGCTCTCTTCACATTATCAGCCCCATTGTACAGAGAAGGAAGCAGAGGTACAGAGAAGTTAAGCGAAGACCAAGTTTACAGACATAACCAGTGTAAACAAGACCTCTTCCCAGACTAATCACTTAACCTGTCTCTCTTTTAATCCATGTATAAAATGGGTAAGATATTTATCACAGGTGAAATCCAAACAACATACAAGATATCTACAACCACTTTGGGGAAGCGATGTTACTCTCATTTTGCAAGTAAAAACAGACACAAAGTGTTTTAAGTGACTTGCCTGGGAACTATTGTAAGAGATCTGATCTGATCAAGCTCCATTTTTCATTTATTAATTCAATTGTTCAGTTGCTCAGATGTTCTAACCATGTCAGTCTGTCCCATGGCTGCCACCTCGCTCCATTTCTGCATTTACACTCCTCCTTCTGACCACAAACTCCTTTGCCTCCCTCATTGCTTCATTTCCCCTTTCCTTTTACTCTCTCTCACAGTTCCCATCAGTCCACTGTACCTACTCCTATTGCCCTCTTTATCCTGTCCACAAAAATCTAGATCAGATATCCACAACATCCTCTGCCTCTTCCTCCTCACATCTGCTGATGTCTATGCCCAGCAGCATCACCTTCCTCATCATTCAACACCACAGGCAGCTCAGCTTCACTATCTGGTTCAGTAGCAGTACTACAACTTTCAATGACTTCCAAGCCTACAATCTTAGCTGTTTGTTCACTTCTGACTCCCTTCCCAAATGTTCTCCACTCCCTCTCCATTTTCCCTCTCCACAGAGGATTGAAACAGCTGTTTCAATATAAAAATAAACAAAAAACAAATAATATGACATCAACTCTCCCTTTGCACGTCACCGCGTCTATGAACTCTCTTGTTATGGATCCTGATCCCAATCCCTTATTTTTTCCCCTTTAGTCCTACACCTGGTCCAGTAACTCCTTCCTCTTTCATCTCTTAATCTTTTTCATCTTCAGTCTAATCCCTGTTCCTCACTCTTTTTCATTGACCTTTCACTTTCGTCAGGCTACTTCCCCTCATGGTACAAGCATGCATTGATCTCTATATCTGTGGATCAATACTCAAAACTCAATCAAAAACTCAAAAATCTTATTTCCTGGGTTTTCAAAACTACATTTTCTGTTCTCCTCTTAACACTCAGATTGCTCCTTGTTTGTTTTGTTTGTTAGATTTTCCTTCTCTCTTCCTTTTTCAGTGGTGATCCCACAGATTAACTCCACCTGAAGTATTCAACCTATCTCGTTGTAAGTTTGATTCCTGCCGTTGCTCCACTACTAATAGCCAGCCTCAACTGCATATTTCTCCAAAAAGCCCTTTCAAAATCCATTAAGTTGTTGTGTTATACTTCAAGGCAGCTGCATGTGTTTTCGCTCTCTATGGTCCAGGAAGAGCACCCAATCTAGGCAAAAGTCAGTGTCCCTCCTGAAGTACTTTTCTGAGAATATTGCTATAATAGCCATATGTGAGTTATGACTCCCTTAAAAAGCTAGCATTTTGTACATCTACATTAAGGGTCTGAGGCTATGTCTAGACTATGGTTTTTTTTCTGGGATACCAATAAACGTGTCTGCTCTTCTGCCTTTTTTTTTTCAGAAGAACAGATTTGTTTTTTCAGAAGTCCTGTCTTCTTCCTCCCACAACTTTTTTTCAGAAGAATAGATTTGTTTTTTCAGAAGTCCTGTCTTCTTCCTCCCACAAGGAAGAAGGGCTCTTTCGAAAGAGGGTTTTTTCCTGAAATTTGGCTCCGTGTAGACAGGCCAAATTTCAGAAAAGCCTCTTCTGAAAAAACTATCGGAAAAAGGTACGCAAATTTTCCTATAAACCCCATAGCATAGACATAGCCTGATTCACCTCAGTGCTGTTTCACATTTACGCCTTTGGAATTACACCATCATAAAACCAAAGTAATGTCGTGATTAATTAGGCTGTACATTTTTTATTGTAGTCCTAACACTTTTTGGGGGCATGTCTACACCAGGAAATTATTTTGAAATAACTAAATTCGAAATAACTCCTGAAATAACTATTTTGAAATAAGCTTATTCCTTGATGAAAGCAGGAGTACAGATTTTGAAATAACCAGCCCATTATTTCGAAATAACGGGTTTGGTAGTGTGGATGCTCTGCTTGTTAATTCAAAATAAGGGGGGAGGGAGTTATTTTGAAATAACTCCCTAGAGTAGATCAGGGCTTACATTTCAACTAAACTTTCACTTTTAATGTGAGTGTAAGCAGATAATTTTCAAAGAATAGAGATGATTGAGGTTATTTTTCTGTGAAGGTATTGAGAACAGGATCTTACATAAGATTTTGAATGAAAACCCTGTTACCAGCTTAACCATAGAGCCATTGTTGTGGGCTCAATAATTATATTACAGTGAATTTTCAGAACAAAAAATTGGCTCCTCTCCCATACAGCCAACTCCAGCCAAGTTCCGTGGGTTCTTATGAGAACCTGCAGCCTTTCCTATTTAATGTGTTGCACTATTACTGAATATGGAAGACAGCAAGATGTGTCTCACATGCAGCCCTTTGTTTTCCTTCAGGCATTTAGGTGGGAATCCAAATAGTGCTCTTTGCTACAGCACTGACAGGCAACCTCGCTATTTTACTATATACAGGCTAATATTTCTAAATCAAGAATCCAGAATATTTTGGGGCTTGTTGCCTGGAGCCACAGAGTTTACTTTCTTTATATACCACTGTTTTTTATTGCTTACTTTGTCAATACCACACATTTAAATTCAACAATTTAAAGAGCAGTATTACAGCTGTGTTTTTATTTTGTTTTATTCGGTTGTTGCTTAAAACAAAACAAACATTCTGACATTTTAAGTCATAACCTATGAAGATAAACAACGTACATATGTCATGATTTCCAGAATAAATGTTTCCCAAGTGACTCCTCAGCAAGAATCTGACCAAAGTGTCCTAAAGGTTCGGCTACATCTACATTCATTAGAGGAATGTTTTAAACAAACTCCCCATTACAGTCATCCATGAAATTAAGGACAGGTGTGAAGTAGTCTGCTCACTAGTTTACCTCATGTCTGCTAGAAACCTACTTGTTTTCTCTTTGCCACACACACTTTTTTCTATTTATTGTACATTTGTGGAAATATTAAACAGGTACGCTGTCAGATTAATAATCGGATTAATTATATACATGTGTGCATACATGCTGTTGCACATCCACAAAATAGATCTAGAACTACACTTAAAGCTTTACTATATCATTTCCATCTCTTATGTCTATGAATCTACAAAAGGAGTTTCTGTAAAGTAAGAAGGCCGGCTCTGTACCTGAAGTGATTCTGGGATATTTGAAATATTCACTCTCTTAAATCCCTTGGAAGCGAAACAACACTTTATTAAACTTTGTGTGTATGTCTCACAGTTTACCCGTTTATGCTACTTCAAACCAGATTCAAACAATGGTGTTGGTAAATATATGTAGAGCAAGTATGAGAATGAAAAGCACAATGTACTGCAAAATTAACAAAATTCCATGTAAAATACAGAATGTTTTACAGTTAAAAAACTCTGCATAACTTTCCACTGGTTCTGTTCTTTAGCTCTGTGAAATCCTAAAATGCTTTCACTGAAAATAGCACACCTAGTCAAAAATACAATCACTTGACTGCATTTACACCAAGGTATACAAGTCAGTGTTGATTACAGCTGCATTAATTTGACCACTAGGGGGTGCCAACTGATGGAACTATGTGGTTAAAACGATTGAAGGGTACCCCCTATTCCCTGAAATGAGAGCTCAGCTGTGAATATTCTAGTAAGTATTTCTAATATGACAGGTAATTGAATCTCACTCCAGGAGTGGAGAAGAAGTCATGATCTACTAGTTTAGTATTCATGGTGGTGTGCATAGGGCAAGTTTCATTATGAGCACACAGTTCAGATGTAGTCACATCTGAGCTGCTGTAAGTTTTGTACACTGCTCAATGATACTGGACATGTTTCTCAAAAATAAGTACCAATTCTGGACATCTCAACTTTAAGTGGCTAGCCTACGGCATCTTGAAATGTCCTGATTTTCAGAAAGGGCTCAGCATCTGTCCTCTAAAAATGATGACACCCTGCAAGGTATCCCAAAGCAGGCACTCAGAAACAGAGGGAAAAACTGAAATCATGTCACTTATGAATATCTTACCTAAAGATATCAGAGGCTTCTTATTCTTGTACTTTCCCCACTGTAATCACTGAAAGTCTCTCACAGCATAGAATTATGTAGTCATAGAACTGGAAGGACCCTTGAGAAGTCAAGTCATGTCCTCTGTATTCATAGCCAGACTCTCTACTTTTAACCCAAGGGTCAGTTATATGGTTCACTTGGGTGCCAAATATGGCTCCTGACTCGAGTATAGCCCCCACGCTCTCCCCGCCCACAATGGGGAGCCTGCAGTGGTGATCCAGTGTTGTGCCCCTTGCAAGATTGGAGCCAGCGCCGGCTTTCTGAGGCGGTGGGGCGGAGGGGTGGAGAATGCCCCGAGCCTCGCTCCGCGATCAGGAAAAAGCTGGTGCCAAATGGTCCTGTGCTTGCATGTATGTTCCTTTTCCCCTGACCCTCCTCCGGCTGGAGGAACAAAACAGTGCACAGGCACACTGCCTGCAGGCTTTTCCTGTGGCTCCATTGGCAAGAATCTGGTCAATGGAGCAGCAGGAAGGCATGCATGAAACAGGGAGCCTGAGAGCAGCACGGGGGGCAAAAGCAGACCCAGCCGCCATCTTGCCTGTGAAGGACCTATTACTCTGCCTCTACCTTACACCACCCACACACGCCATGCATTTGCACCAGTCCGAGAGCCCCATGGGGCCGCTGGCGTCTGTCATCAGCCCAAGCACCTTTTCCTGGTGCCAGCGGGCTGGATCCTGGCCAGCCTGAAGAGGTACCAGAAGCGCGACTGAGTGGACCGGTTCCCATCTGTACCCGGACTGTTGGCCAGTCTCTCTGTGCTCCTGGCAAGGTGTGGCCTTCAGTCCACACACAGTCCTTGGGTTGCTAATTTATTCTGTGACCCGTGCGGAGCAGCGGTTGGCTGCCACCTGGGAGTGATTGTTTCAATGAATAAACCTTGTTACAGACACTGGAACCAAAAAAAAGCAAGTGCCGCCCATATCCTGCACCCCCTTCCCCCTCTCCGTGCTAAAAACCTGCATCCCAAGCCTGGTCCTGCCCCTCACCAAACACTTACCCCCACCTTGCTCCTGCCCCCTCCCTCTGACCAGACACTTTACTCCCAGCCTGCTTCTGCACCCCACGTCCCATCCAGATCTTGCACCCCCATCTCTATCCCACTAACTGGCAGCTCTATCCTTCACACTGAATCCCTCATTTTTGTCCCCACCCTAGCGCTGTGAGGGGCGGAGGGGAAGAAATCCACTAACCCCAAAAGAGTAAATCCAACCCACGAATGGAGCGAGGGTTGGTATTTTTTTGGAGGGTTTGGGGTTTTTTTGCTTCTCACTTGTGTGGGTCAGAGACCCCAACTCAAAAAAGGTTTCCCACTCCTGAAAATAAAGACAGCATTGACACCTTTTGTGTTGGACATAATATTTTATGAATAGTCTAGCAACACCATAAAGACTAGCAAAACATGTAGATGGTATCCTGACCTTTTGTGGGTTCAACCCACTTCTTCAGATGAATGGAGTATGAAAAGTCTAGTTCCAAAATAAATAGAAGATAGGGGGAAAGAAGGGGAAAAACAGTGTTTTAGAGTGTTCT